GTAGTAGTAGTAGTAGTAGTAGTAGTAGTAGTAGTCGTAGTAGTAGTAGTAGTAGTAGTAGTAGTAGTAGTAGTAGTAGTAGTAGTAGTAGTAGTAGTAGAAGTAGTAGTTGTAGTAGTAGTAGTAGTAGTAGTAGTAGTAGTAGTAGTAGTAGTAGTAGTAGTAGTAGTAGTAGTAGTAGTAGTAGTAGTAGTAGTAGTAGTAGTAGTAGTAGTAGTAGTAGTAGTAGTAGTAGTAGGAGGAGGAGGAGGAGGAGGAGGAGGAGGAGGAACACCGGCTCCTTTGCCCCGTTCCCTCCCCCCCCGCGCCCTCCCCCCCCGCGCTTTCCCGCCCATGGCCTCCGTCCTGGCGCCACTGCCCTCGCAAGGCTCTGCCCTTCCCCTTCGCCTCCCCCCACTCCCCACTCCTCTCGCCCTTCTCCCCACTCCCCATCTCCCACTCCCCAAACTAGATCTGAACGGGTCCAACCAACCAATCAACACAGTCCCCTTTTCTTCCTCTCTCCAGCCCCCCTCCTCCACCCTCGCTTCTGCTCCACCTGCTCCTTCTTCTCGAGCTCCTCCCCGATCCCCCCTTTTCTCTCCCGCACACTCCTCTCTTCCAGGAGGCCGAGGTCTTTTGGTAAGCGTGCCATTTTGGAAAGGGCGCGGAGGTCCAGGCCAGGCGTTCGACACTCTCGGCCGAGGTTGATCCGGTCGACGGGTGAATTCTTTTTCGAGGGGGGGCGGCTGGTCGGTGGGCTCTGCCAGGGAGCAAACCATTCTCCTCCTGATGGGCGCCCCCCCTATGCTTCTTCCTCTCTTCCTCGGATCGCCACTCTATAGGCTAGTAAACCTCCTCCCCCCTCCTATCCCCCCTCCTCCCGCCCCCCCTCCTCCCCCTCCTCCTCCTCCTCCTCATCCTCGTCCTGCTCCTCCGTCTCCTCCTCCTCCTCCCCTCCTCCTCCTCTCCTCCTCTCTCTCCTCCTCCTTCTCCTCCGACTCCTCCTCCTCCTCCTCCTCCCCCGCTTCCTCCTCTTTCTCCGTTCCCTCCTCCTCTTCTCCTCCTCCCCTCCTCCTCCTCCTCCTCCTCCTCCTCCTCCTCCTCCTCCTCCTCCTCCTCCTCCTCCTCCTCCTCCTCCTCCTCCTCCTCCTCCCCCCCCCCTCCCGCGAGGACGGGCTGGCCGCGCTGCGGGCCTCGCTGCCGCCCGCGGCGCCGCGCCTGCGGGGCTCGTGGCCTCCGGCCCCTGTTTGCCCAGAGCCTGCTACGGTCAGCCCGCAGTGCAAGGATGAGCAGTCGGCGTCCCCCCCAACATTCGGGGGCGGCAAAGAGGGGGGTGATGACTAGGCGGGGGGGGATATCATGGCCCTGGCATCGCTCGGACGTGTGCATTTTTTCTCGGCGAGGGCCATCGAGGAGCATCCGTGATCATTTGGCGAAAAATCCACGCACGAAACCGAAAAAACACAGGGAATGGACGTCCGAGCGATGGCCAGTGGCGGGGGCCATCATATTTCCCCAGGTTTCAGGGCGCCGCTTCTCGTTTCGTTACGTCCCTGGCCCCCCCGCCGGGCCGCGCACACGCCGCCGGTCATGATTTGCACCCCCCCCTTCTTGGACACCCCCCTCTTGGCCGCTCCCGAAACATACTTATACTATGCGTTCGTCGCCCCCCAGGGGCGACGCGCGCACCGAGAGATCTTCTAGCATGTGCGTCGTGGCGGGTGCTCTCTGGCCGCACCGCTCGAGCAACGGGCCGGACGCGCGGGCCAGACGAGAGGGGGGGGTTGGGAAAGGGGGGGGTACCGCCGCGGGGCCCATTCTTTGATACATGGGCGCCTCCTGGCGCCGGGAGGCGCCAGGAAAATCAGCTACGAGAGCTGATTTTCCCCCCCCCACCTTTGCTATCACACCCCCTTCGCCCGGTCCGAGATGAGCAACCTTCCCAATGGTATTCTGGGTTTCTTAATAAGTGTGGGGGGGGTAACTAACTACCCCCCGACGGGGGGTCAATCTCGCCTCGTCGTCGCGCCGCGACGGGGGTCGGAGCGCTTTCGGCGCGCGGTGGCTGCCCGCGATGGCTGCCCGCGACGGGGGTCGATGTGGGTCGGCTGGGGTGACGCCCCCCCCGACGCTTCTTAAGAAACTCGGAGTATCCGTGCATCCTTGCCTCCTGGGTCCATCCTTGACCACTTTCGTTGACCTCGCCCCGCCTGAATGGCTTTGAAATGGCCTTCCAAGGCCCCTGCATCCTCATCGTGCGTCCTTGCGATACGGGCTGACTGTAGTTTCTCGGAGTTCCGCGCGGACTTCTGGGATCGGCGCTGGGCCCCCCTGGTTGCGCCACTGGCGCCGCCCTTGGCGTTTCGCGCGCCAGTGAGGGAGGTCCAGCGCCGACCCCAGAAGTCCGCGCGGACCTCAGAGAAAATGTGCTCTTGCAGTGGTTTGTTCACCTCGAGGCCATCCCTATGGCGCTCTGTAGCCAAGTCTTGAGCTCCAACTTGGTGTGGCTATTCCGGCAACGATTCTATCGCACTTTGCTGGCTCACTCACAGGGGCGCGAAGAAAATGGCGTACCGGGCCGCGCGACCTGGGCAGCAACTGCGCTCTTCTCCAGGGCGGAGGCGCGAACACGCAACGATATCTGCAGATCGCGCATCGCGGGGCGCGACGCGCCAGGTCAAGTTACCCAGATTTTCCAGGATTCCCGCTCCTTCATAGTCTTGTTTAGGCCACGCTGATGAGTGCGAGCCCGCGCTCGGATTCTGAGAGTCCAGGTCTTCATAGCCAGAGCAGGGGACATGTTGAAACCTTCAGGAAGCTGGGTGGGCAGTCCAACGCCATGGGCATCATGAGTGGCGCAGCGGCTTTCCCCCAGCATCGTGCTTGTTGGACGTCCTTGTGCAGGCTGGGGGAGGGTGCCCTCGAGTGTTCTGTGTGCTCTGGCCGGCGGATGGTCTCATGCTCTTGAAGGACTTTCTTCTGTCCTATGTCCAGCTGTACCTTGAGGCTTTGCCTCCTCCCGGCCTCGTTCTGAGGCTGCGCCCCCCTTTTCCTCCCTTATCTCTGCGTAATTCAAGCTTTGCGCGGCCCGCTTAGCTTTGACCGGAAGAGGTGCGCTCTCGACCCGCGAATCAAAAAACTATATCCAGCTGTACCTCCACCATGCCTGGCCAGGGCCTCGTGGCCTCGCCCGGGATGGCCCGTGCCTGGCACGGTGGGCTGCAGGTGCCTTCTGCATGAAGTCGGTGCCTAAGATCTCAGGAGGGGACAAAACACAGACACAATTAATCGTCGATTCCCTAGGAGATATGGGAAAATGTGGGAAGTGGGGGGGAAGACAAAAGCCCAGAAAATATGGGGACATATGGGGAATCCTGTTATTTGCGTGCATTTATTTGTGTGTGCCAGGGCCCCTTCAAGATCGCCGAGCGCCTTTCACTACCCGCAGAGTGCCTACTCGCAACCGTCCGAAAAGCACAGGCTCGCCCCGACGCAAGAAATTGTAGATCCCCCGCGGCGGATCCAGGCCATTTGCGAGTAGCTACTTTGCGAGCAGTGGAACGCGCTCGTCTTGTACGAGGTCTCCTTTGCGCAGGAGGGCGGTTGGCATTGGCGTTCCGTGCCAGGGGGTCCTCCCATCGGTCCTTCGGGAAGCCGCCCACTCCTGCCGCTTTGCCTTCTACTTGCATTCAGCTTTCTCTCGCGTCCCGTCAGCTTGCTGCTGGCTTGCATTCGGCTTACGTGTAGCCTGATTCCCAATCGCGTTGTATGTTCTCCAGCCTGCCTTCAGCAGCTTGTCGAGCTCAGCTTGCCTTCCGATCGTCAGTCAGAATAGGCGTTTGCTGTCCGTTTTTTTTCTATGCGTTTGCCATGCGTTTTTCCTCTGCGTCTGCCTGCTCTTCGCCTGTCTTTCGCCGGCGCCCGGGCCCCTCGTGTCGAGGCCGCGCGGCGGCTCCCCCTCCTCCCCGCCCTGACTCGAAGGAGAAGGAAGCGGCATCTCCCCCTCCTCCTCGTCCTCGTCCTCCTCCTCCTCCTCCTCCTCGCTCCTCGCTCCTCCTCCTCCTCCTCCTCGAGGCCGTTTTTGAGACTCGGACCGCAGCCAGCGCCCAGACCTGGCCGCTCGGAGCCCGCGGCGGGCAGCTGGGGGCTCGGAGGCCTCCGCAGAGGGCGCAGCAGGGCCTCCGAGGAGGTATACCTCGCAGGAGGGCCTCCAGGGGGGCGGCCTTCTGGATGACCTCCCCAGATGGTCCTCCTCCTCCTCCTCCTCCTCCTCCTCCTCCTCCTCATCCTCCCCCTCCTCCCCTCTTCCTTCCTCCTCCTCCCTCCTCCTCCTCCTCCTCCTCCTCCTCCTCCTCCTCCTCCTCCTCCTCCTCCTCCTCCTCCAGAGGCGGCTCCACCACAGCAGCGCCCGTTTCGTCGTTGGGCTCGGGGCCCTGGCGCGTACTACCTGCCTGGGGGCCGCCACCAGTGGCCACGCAATCGCATGGCTTGCGCCTGCGGTCGGCGCGGGCCTTTGGCAGGCTCTGGCTGGGAACCGCTACCAGCGACCACGCAGCAGCAAGGCCCGTGCTGCCGTTCAGCACAGGTTGCCGGCGCACCATGCGTGAGAGCTGCCACCACTGGCAGCCTCACCACAGGGGTTTGTGCCATCATGCGGCGCGGCCCCAGCAGACGCAGCGAAGTCTGGAAAAGGGGGCTCCTCCGAAGAGTCCTATATATATACCGCTGGCACCACACGATGTGCGCCATTGCGACGAGCACATCGACGGCACATCGATTACACGCGCGAGCACCACGAAAATTGCCACGACAACGTGCGTAGCACCGAGAATTGCAACTCGTGCTACAACTTGCGGTACTCCGTGATGTACCTCGACGGGTATTTGCAAGTCCAACAGGGCATGTAATGTTGAACCAAAACCACCAACCGAAACGCTTCCACAGCGTGCGCGTTCTCGCCAGGCCACTGTCGCGACTGCGGACCAGACCTACCAACGCCACGCTGCCTGAGCGCTCGGTGTGCCGGCCCGTTCTTCGCGACCCGGCCAATACCCCAGAATGTTTATTGCTCACTCAGTGGACGCACGTATGTGCGATCGTGATAGCTCGGCGCTGGTGCGCACGCGCACTTGAACACTCGCGGTCAGCAAGACCCAACGCCCAACGAAACCTTAAGAGCGTTGGCCCAAGTGCGACCTTTGCGCGCAGGGCTTGGCTTCATCGGCCTCAGCTGTATGAGCAACCAACGTTGGGCGATTAAGCCAAGCGCAGATGGCCGCCAGGCGGGACTGCTTTGGCGCGCAGCCCTGCTTCGCCCAGCAGCGTGGCATGACAGAGGTAGTGAAAGCACATGCCCACGCGACCCTGACCGAATGTCGCCAGTTTACCAAAGGTGAACAAAGAGGGAGACGCCATTCGCGCGTAGACCCCGACCCGCTCCCATTTCTAGAGGATCATTGGAATTATGACCACTCGCTCCCACTCCTTGGGAGATTATGTTTTGTGCCACTCGCTCCAATTCTGTGGGAGATGCTACGAATTATGATTGCTCGACCCATTTTCTGTTGGAGATGTTACGAAAAACTACTCATTCTCATTTCTGGGGGTGGCATGTTTTACACTATGTATGACCAGTCGGTCCATCTTCGGGGACATGGAGCTATTACTGCTCACTCCCACTTCTTTGGAGTCATAAGGATCATGAATTCTCCATCCACTTCTTGAGGAATATTTGGAATTGTGATCACTTGCTCTTTGTCTTGGAATGTGCGACGGAATTTGCGACATAGATGCCACCGGCGACTCGTGCCGGGTACCAGTCATAATATGCATGCGGTGTGTGCCACCATGTGCACAGCAATCATGCACGTGGCCTGGGCCAGCAGTATTGACGAGAACTACCTGAGGTATCCGGTCACATGTCTGGTACAAGCTGTCTGGTACAAACATGTTATATGCCTGGAGTGTTACAGTGCAGGTTTACAGCTTCTAGCATCGATTGATCATGTGCGTGAGTGCTACCGCGTTGACGCCTTCGGCTCATTCTTCTCTTCGTCTGTCAACGGATCAACCATATCGTTTTGTTCAGCAGCGATCTCCAGGAGAGCACTCGCATGACGAGTCACCAATGTCACCGACCGCATTGTGGCAGTGACTACTCCCAAGAGTACCAGTACACTTGGGTACCATGAGTAGAGTCGGGGAACGCGCTTTCGGACAGCCGCCGCGCTGGGCGCGACCCCTTCGATATCGCGCGCCTGGTCGGTGCCTCCGACGATCGAAGGGAGTGGCCGGCCCCTCCCTGCTCGCTGCCGACCGCCGACCGCGCGACGACCGCCGCCGCGACGACCGCCACCAGTGCTCGAACAAGAGCCCCTGCTGCCCTTGCGCAGGTCTGCCACCACGTGCGTTGAACAGGGGGCCTCAGTCCACTGCGACCGCGGGCAAGGCGGCAGGCCGCGCCGGCGCCCCGTCCAAGCAGCATGGCCCGGAAAGGGGTACATGGCTGTGCAGCGCATCTTCGGCGCGCCCCCTCGCGCCCCGCGGCGCCACCGCGCCGCTGCGCGGCCGCGCCGCGCAGCGACTTCGCGTCGAGCAACGTGGCCGCAATGCGTGCGTTGCATGGCTGTGCCGTCGCGGCGTGGCCGCGCGCGCGCCGAGAGGCGGCGCGCGCCTGCGCGACGCCATGTCTCGCCATCTTGCGCAGCGCAGCGCGCAGGGGGCGACGCTGCGACGACGGGGCCCGCGCGGCCGCGCCCTGCGCGCGGCCGTCGGAAGCGCGCCGACGCCCCGGCCAGGCCGGCAACGCGCGCAGCCGCGGCGGCCTGCCAGGTCTTGCCGCGCCACTGCGCTGCCAATGCGCGCCCGCATCCAGCTGCCACGCCCGCGCCGAACGCCATTTCGCGCCTGCGTGCGGCCCGTGCTGCTCGACCACAGCTGCTGCGACAACAACGTCTGCGCCGCTGCCGACCAAGCTTGATGCAACGATAACGAACGCGCCGTCGACCGCGACAGGCGCGACTACGGCCGCGGCGTCGGCTCTTGCCGCGCCGACTTCAGACGTCCTGTCTACGCGGTCGTCGGCGCCGCCGCGGCCGCCATTGCAGGCTCTCTGGCAGCTGTGGCGTCCTCGCCACCAGCTTCACCGACAACAGCCGGGGCTGCTCGCCAGGGGGGAGCGCTGCGTCGATGGTGGATTCCTCGGCAGAGCCGCTGACGAGGCGCAACGAAGGTCATGCGGACATGACCGAAGAAAAGCCGCGCCGTGCTGGCGCCGCGCTCGTCGGCGCCAGCGCGACGCCGCCGCGCGGGGCGCGGCGCGTCGACGCTGGCGCGGTCGTCGCCGCAAGGGCGCTGAGCCCCAATTCAGACACCGCCCCTCCCAAGCATCATCGGCCACGCGGCCGGGGCAACTGATGCGGCGTGATTTTCATTATTCACCAGCGAGCAGCGCCAATTTTGGCCCACGTTACCACGACCTGCCTGCTGACAGGCACCGGCGCAGAGGCTCTGAGACAGGGCAGCGAGCGAGCCCTGCGTGCGCGGCCATGCTCAGCCTGGGCAGCCGGGCTCGCAGTCGCGCGCCAATGCCAGCGCGGCTGTCCACGCCGTATATGCTAGAGCTAAGCCGCTCATTGGGATGACGCATGGGCTCGCGTGGCGGCCTTGGCAAACGCTGGGTAAAATGGGCTTCCGACCCGAGTTTCCTTGTCCTCAGCTCAGTGAGGCTGGGCGCTGACCAACGCCTAGGGTGGGGTGTCCTGGTGCCGGGCGTCGAGTGCGCCGCCCCGCGCTCCGGCGCCCTCTCCTGCTGCGGCCGGGGCCCGGATGCGCCGGTTGCTGTGCCGGCGCCGTCGCCCGCGTGCCGCCGGCGGGCCGTGGCCTCGCCGAGTTCGGCTGCAACCGTCTGTGCGCCGCCAAATCGCGCCGCCATCCCGGCAGCGGCGCGGCCGCGCGCGGCCCGGGCGCTCATGAGCGCGCCGCGCCGCGTCCGCGCGCGACCGAGCTGCGCGCGAGAGCATGCGCGCGAGGCGCCATTTGCTCGTCCATATCCGTGCGTGCCTCTCTGAGTGCGCGGCGACCTTCCACTGGGGAGATGCGGATTCACTGCGCGATGCCCTTACTTTCGGGGTCGGCCAAGAGGGGGGTGATGACTTAGGGGGTGGTGGGTATCGTGGCGTGGGCGTTGATATTTCCTCGGATTCCAAGGCGCCTCCTCTTATTTCAACGCGTCTCCAGCCCCCCTGGGCCGCGCGCGCGTGCCGCCGGCCATGATTTGCTCACCCGCCTTCTTGGCGCCCCCTCTTAGCGGCGTCCGATGCTTCCTGGCGCGTCAGTCCATTCGCTATCGAAGTGGTGTTTCGCGCAACTGTTGGGCCCAGAGTGCATTTTACTGCTGCAGAATGCCGCGCGGCGCAGCTTTCGCTGCGTGCGCTCTGCGTGCAATCGTTGACGCGCGAGTGGCTTGGACTTGAATTGGCATGGTGATGTTGCCCCTGGCGCGCCCGCGCCATCGCCTTCAAAGTCGCGCGCGCCGATATGTGTCTGATGGGTCGTCTCGATCGTCGCTCAGCCCGCCGCGGGCGCCGACGTGCAACTTGGGGGCGCGAGCTCGGCCCCCGAAGAGCTTGCGCGAACGGCAGGTTGGGCCATCATTCGCCGCAGCTCTCGCGCAGAGAGATCCCATGTTACTGCTGCCTTGGCCACGATCCGACAGTTTCTCACTGCGGAGCGGATCTTGTGAGGAGGCGTGTGCGCCCCGCGCGCGTGGCGTCGCGCGCCCCGCAGCGCCGCGTGCTCGCGCGCCCGCGCGCCGGCCGCCAGTTCGCGGCCGCTGCTGTTTCACCTGGGCCCTGTGCTACCACGCAGCACGGCCCAGGACGTCGAGGCAGCCGAGCAGACATGCGCGCGTGCAAACGTGCGCGCGCTGAAAAAAGTTACGCGAGAAGTCGGCGCTAACGACCTCTACCTGGGCTCTGGCTGGGAGGGCAAGTCGGCCAGCGGCTGCGGGCTCCTGCGCGGGCGCGCCCCTGCCGCCTCGACCAGGACCTTCGCGCCCCGCTCTGGCCGGCGCCGCCGCCTTAGCCCGGGGGGCTGCTGCGCGCGCCCATGAGTTGCCCGACTCCCCCGCTCATTCTGCCGCCGCGTCGCCGAGGAAGTCGTGGCCCGGACGGCGACTTGAACCCGAGTCGCGCGTTTCCCTGCGTGCGCTGTTGTGCATCCCGCCGCGTCGCCTCGCTGTGGATGCCGGCGTTTCGACGCCGCCGCCGCTCTCGCCGCGGGGCCCTCGCGCGGCGCGCAGTCCCGTGCGCCGCCGCGCCGGGCAGGGTGCGAGGCAGCGCGGCCGTCTGCGGCTCAGAGCAGTCCGTCCGCGTGGTGTCCAACGGGATGTTGAGTCAAGCCTCTCTGGCGCCCTCGAGGGGGTTTCCGGGGGCGGCGCCGCCGCGGCCAGCCGCTTCGCGCGCGTTGAGCCCAGCTTGTGGCAGACCTGCCAGGCACCTCCCAAGAACTCGGCGGGGCGGCTGGGGCCGCGATCGTCGCGCCGCATCGCGCAGAGCTACCTTGTCAAGGAGGCCGTTCGCGTCGCCGAGGAGGCGATGGCCAAGAAGCCGCGCGCCTTTATGGGCGCCGAGGGCCAGTCGGATAACGTTATGCTGAGTGATGCCGCGCTGGGCACCGCGGCCAACGTGCTCGCGGCCCTCCTTGCGGCGGTGGAGAATCCGATTTTCGTCGGGCGCCTGGGTAGAGCGATGGGCAATGCGGCGAATGCCGTCCACGACTTCCTCAGCGTCGCACGCCGCGAGACCTCGATGTTTGCGCTGGCGGTCTCGGGGGCGCCAGTCGTTGGGCTCTCGCCCCTCCTTGCGCCCCACTTCTCCGAGGCCTCCTTCCGCGCCGTGGCGATGCAGTCTGGCGGGGGGGAGGTGGCCAGGGGTCTCGACGTCGCGATGCCCGGGGGGCTGAGGCCATCCTTCCAGCCCGCCATCAACGGCGTTCGCGCCCGGGCGCTCCCGCTGTAGATGAGCGCCTCCAGTCTTGGGGGGGCGACCATCTCCGGCGACCCCCGGGTCCGGTCTCATGGCGAGCATCGGGGAGCCGTCGCCCCGCTCCCGCTCCTCGGGGAGCCATCGTCGCCGCGGCCGGACGCGGCTCGGAAAACCAGGGGCCGCGGCAGCGGAGACAGCGACAGGCCGGAGGACCAGGCGCCACCGGAGGACAGATGGGAGAAGGTGCAGCAGTATCGAAAACCGACCGCCCTGCGCGATGAGGACAGCCTCGTGGCATGGCTGGCCGTGCAGGACGAATGGTTTCGAGAACAGTGGGGCAGCGTGCCGGAGGAGGACCTCCGCGATCCAAATTCGGCGCTGGAAGCTTGGGAGTCCCTGGCGGAGGACATCTTGAGGGTCATGGTGAAGCGGCACCCCGAGACAGACCAGACTCCGGCGACGGGCAAGCGCAAGCAGGACAGACAGCTACGTCCATACCAGCGCCGGCACGACACGGAGGTGCAGTGCCACGCGAAGGAACACAGCATCTGGCGGTACCTCACGCTCATGGGCGAGCTGGACAGGCGGTGGGACAGCACCACGGCGGCGGAAGCAGGCAGGCTGGCCCGCGGTCTCGGTCTCCGGGGCAACCGGGCCGAGAAGCGGAAGAAGGCGGCATTCTTGGAGACTGCCCTGGAACAGATTCAGAAGGAAAGGCTGGCGGCGTGGCGCGAACGCCTCCGGCGTGACCCTGGGCGCAGACAGGTGTACGCGTGGGTCAAAGGCCATGTGGCGGCCCACGGGCGCTGCTGTGCGAAGTGGAGACCACCTCTACACGCACGGCGCGGCAGCCAGTGTTGTCCGGGAGCACTTTGCGAAGCACTTTGCAGAGTGCGGGAGCGGCAGCGACAAGGCGGCCTACATGGAGCAGTACGCTCACGAGTTGGCCGTCATGCGCAATGCCATCCAAATTCGGAATGGCCGGGAGTCCGGCTGGCGCGATCAGATCCACGTGTACAGAAACTGCGACGATCCCACCGTGGTGGAATACAGGAGGGCGCTGCGCAAGATGGTGGGGATGGCCCCCGGAACAGATGGGTGGAGGGCAGAAGAACTGCTGCTGCTGCCCCACTCCGCGCTGGAGGTGCTGATTGCCCTGTTCTGCCGGCTGGAGGCGGACGGCGCCTGTCCAGATACATGGCTCTTTTTGGCATCAGTTCCATGTCCCAAAGGACAGCATGGCAGACGCGCCCAGAATCGACCGGCTGAGACCGATCAGCATCGCAACCACGGCATGGCAGGCCTGGGCGCGGTGCAGGCGGGAGCAGATCGCCGATTGGCTCCGGCCAATCTGGCTTCCAACCCTCGCAGGGGGAATGGCAGACAGGACAATCGAGACCATCCTCGAACCCATCCTCGAACTGACCGAGGCCTGCCGGGCGCGCAACCTCTGGGAGGAGCTCGCGGTGGCCAGGGAGCCCGAGGACGAGGCGGAGCACCAGCCACAGCAGCAGCCTAATCCCCCGGAGCCCCCGCAACAGGCAGCGGCGGAGGAAGCGCAGCACGACCTGCACATCCGCACCTTGGACTTTGCATCGGCCTTCGACCGCGCCAGCGTGGACATCGTCTTGGCTATCTGGGCGGAGCTGGGCATCCCGGAGCACGTGCTCAGAGGCGTCCGGGCCATCTGGACGCAGCAGCAGAAGTACATTGAGCTGGGCTCCACAGTATGCCCAGACCCGCTGACAGTGAACGAGTCCCTGCCGGGAGACCCACTCTCCATACTGGCGATGGCCACGCTCCTGTGTGCCACGTACAGACGCCTGAACCGGAGGGCGCCGCACGGACGACACGCCCTTTGCGCAGACGACCGCACCGCAGCCTCCCATAACCCCGACGACCTGGAGATCGCGGAGCAGGCGCGGCAAGAACTTGAGCAATGCACGGCGCTGCACACGGCGCCGGAGAAGACCAGCAGCCTCACGGCACTTGCCGGAAAGCCGCCACCGCAGACGGAGGTGAAAGTCCTAGGGCTTCACCTGGCGGTGCATGGCCAGACCAGCCAGGCGGCAGAACGGAAAGCAGAAGACACACTTCGAGAGCGGGCGGCGCGGATCGGCAACCTCCCGTTCTCCTCGCACGAAAAACGCCGTTTCTACAGCACGGCGATCGGCAAGCTGATCTGGGTAATATGCGGATCCCCCATGTCAGGTGCGCGCCTGCGAAAGCTGCAGGGCTACGTGGACCGCGCCATATGGGGGGGAAATGGAGCTCGGGGAGTGCCCCCCTCAAGCGCCTGCTGGTGACCGGCCACAATGGCGCGATCTGGTACCACATGTCATGCCGGACATGGAGATTCTGGCTCGCAAAGACCAAGCGCCTGGGGGCGAGGGCGGCCACGACGTGGTTACGACAGCTCCAGGGTGCCCCTGCGCTGACCCCAGCGACGCAGCAGTCCAGACACAGAGGCCCGACGGCGCTCATGATGCAGTTATTCGCGCACGTTGGGTTGCGCCTGCAACCGCAGGGCCAGGAGGCCCAGTGGAGCACAGCAGACAGGATGGTGGTGGTCCCTGCGACGACGCCGCCACGAGCAGCAGCACACATGTTTCGCCTGGCATGGCGGAAGCAGCTGTGGACACAGTACAAGGCATCTACGACGAGACGAGATGCAGAACTTGCGCGGGCATTCGACGTGCCCTACTGCGCACCAGTGATCAATGCAGCCATGCAGCTAGCCCGACATGAACTCAGCAGCCACGTGGTGGCCGTCCTGCTAGGCTCGGTGTGGAGTGACGCGAGGTGCACCAAGGTGGTCTTTGGGAGAGGAACCGCCGCACTGCAGTCGTTGTGGAGCGGCGACAGCGTCAGACTGGGTCCACGAAGCATGGGCATGCCCACACTTTGAGGTCCACAGAAGGGGCCCACCGCCGACAGCGAGGCCAAACAACCCCTTCTCCAGATACATGGGCTGGCCTGCCGAGTATCTTGGGAGACGTGCAATCCCAAAGTGGTCAAGCACGATTCTGTGTGTGGCCAGGATCAGACGCCAGGTTGCTCGTCGAGCGCTACCAGCCATCTCAGTCGGCTCATCCGCCGCCGGCGGCGGGCCGGCCACAGACAGACACCAGCCGAACGGCTGACGCAGCAGCGCCACATCCTTCACGGAGCATACAAGGCCCAACCATTACTGCAGCAGAACAAGTGGAGCTTGACCACTCACTCCCCGGCTCCTGGAGTTGGAGAGCTGGGTGATTGAGACCAGAACAGATATCCCTCCCTGCTGGGCCTCCTGGGGCCCGGTGCGCGGCAGCCTGCCGGCTTGCCGCGCGATCTCAGATGCAGGTCGACTCGTGCATTTCCTCATGGCGAGCATCGGCGACTACAACAATATGCTGGCCAAGATGCACTCCTCCATGCACGACCGCCCGCGCATTTCTGATCTGATTCTGCCGACGGTGGGCAAGGTCTACCCCGTGTGGCCCGTCTTGGTCGACGCCGCTGGCCGATCGCGACCTCCCAGGTTGCCGCCCTCCAGGAGGTCGCGGGCGATGACTGAATGGCCCCGGGCAAGTCCGACGCGATCGCGAAGCAGATGTTCGAGATGCCGGAGCGCCGAGCTCAAGGGCGTCGACGAAGATCCGGGAGGGCGCCGCCTCCGCGGCCGCGACGCGCGCGCGGGCGACGATGCTCATGGGCGCCGCCGCCGACGAGGAACCCGCCGTGAAACAAGGGGCCTCGTCGCAGACATCGTCGTGCGGTCGGATTCGGAGATCCCCGAGTCCGCTGAGGATTGGCTTGGCGCGCCAGTGTTACTCCAGTGCGCGGCGCTGCACGGCTTGGGGGTTATTTTGCATTCTCGCCTCATTCGACCCTTTCGCGTCAGCCTTTGGCACGGGCGTGCGCTCGACGACGTGAGCTTGGTAGTGCAGCCGCGAATCGGGGGTGGAGAGCGGGGCGCGGCTGCGGTTGGCCCTGCGCGCGACGCCGCGTTGCCTGCGCTACAGCGCGGCAGCGGCCCTGCACGGGCGGTGGCACGCTAGCGCAGGGGCGCGCGCGTAGCAGTGCTTGCCCCCGGACGATGACGTCACGGGCGCGTTCGGAGTCGCCCGGCGCGTGGCGTCAGCCACCAGGCTTGCCGTCGTCAAACCGAAGACGACACGGACGCTGTGTTTTCGTGCGATTTCACTTTGGGCAAGGACAGTTGGCCGAACCAATTCCACCGCGCGGCTGTCAGCGGCGCGGGCCCCGCCGCGCCTGCAACGGATTGCTCGGGAGTGCTCGTGCTTTGGTCTGGCGCGGCATCTTTTCCTGGACGTGCTGCGCCGCGTGAGTGCGCGTGCGTCCGGACAGGCACCTCCGCAGTCCGATTGTCTTGGACATGTCGGGGCCCGGTATTCCAGCTGGAAGACGCATGGCGACTGGGCTGCGACGAGCAAGCGCCATCGAGAAACCGTTCCCTGCCATCGGTGGTTGGCTAGCTTCCCCCATTGACTGTCGGGGCCCTCTTGTCTCGCGGCAGATTCGCGCCGCGTGAACAAAGGCGTGAACATCTTCGTCGTGAGGTTCTGGTTGGCACGACGCGCCGGGCGCGTGGCAGGTGCCGCGTGCAAGTGTCCGGCCGTGGCACCTCTGCGCCGCCCGCGCTGCGAGGCGCCGAAGCGGCGGCGCGCAGTCGCAGAGATCAGTGCTGCTGCGCCGCCTCTTGACCGACGAGCCGGCATGCGTCGCGACAGCCTGGCGCGTGGGCCACGCTGTGCTGCCGACTCAGGGGCAGCTGCGAACGGCCGAAGCAGGCGCCAGCGACGCCGCGCTGCTGTTGTCCCCAGAAAGCACGCGCCTCGCTGGTGCCACTCAGCATCCACCAGACCAACGCATGGATCAGTCTGGAGTCCGCGCCCGTGATTGGCAAGCACCAGCAACGAAAGACATGCTGCCGCCAACGGCTGGGCGAGCTGCGTCTGCGCGCCCGCGAAGTAAGGCGCGCGGGTGCTCTCCGGCCACGCTGCCGCACAAGCTCCGTAACAGCCAGCTGCGCCCGCCGGTGCATATTCTCGCAAGTGCCGAAGGCTAGCGGCTATGCCGACAATATGCGAGATGCAGGGCCAGGGGGCGCACCTGGCCGAAGGGGCAACTGGCGCCGCGGCGTGAGCGCATGCCGTGCACGATCCGCGCCGGACTCCTACGAGCAGTGCCTTGCTCGCGGCTGCAAGACGACATCAGCTGGTCGACGCCGCATTGGGTAAGGGGCCGGTCTTCAGGCTCTCCTTGCTGCGGGGTGCCTGAGGTGCCATCGCGATCAAGCAACCCTGGCCGCAGGCAGCGCGGCATGCGCATGCGCTGTCCACGCGCGAGCACGCGTTGCCCTCCTGGTATCACCGCAGCACCCTTCTTGCTGAGGCTGCTGGGTCATGGGTGATGTGCGCGAGACAGCCTGCGGCTGGACGCGTCTGATCAAGGTGGCGCAGCGGCCGCTTCCCCCCATTTCTTCGCGTATTCTTCCAGGACCACAGCGTCTCGGAGGGGCGCCTTCCATTGCCCGGTAGCCCAGGCTCGAGTAGGAGTGCAGGCGCGCACCCGCCGCCATTTTGTTCCACATTGCGCGCGCATGTGTATCGGTAAAGGAAACCACTGCTCTTTTCATGTTATTGCCGCCGTGTCTTCTGTATTTCACCGCCTCTATGCGCAATGCTACTTCCTCCTCCCCCCCTCCTTCTCCTCCTCGCCCCCTCCTCCTCTGCAGTTACACATTACGAACCTCTCTCCACTGATGGCGTCTGGAAGATGTCCGGCCCTCCTCCGCGTATTGTTTCCTACGCAGGATTTCCGGGAGTTGTTCTTTCTTGGTTTTAAAAAAGAAAGGTTGCTCCCGCTGGAGCGTTGGCCTCGTTTTCTGTCGTCCGGTTCCGAATCGTGCTCCCGCTGCAACGGTGGCCACATTTCCGCGCTTCCGCTTGTTCCGAATCGCTCTCCCGTTGCAGCGCTGGCATCATTTCCTGGTTTCATATGTGTTTTGGCAGTCCGATTCTTGTCGGTCCTTCAAAATGTTGCTCCCGCTGCAGCGCTGGCCCCATTGGCCGCTGCAGCGCGGGCGTATTCGGTCTTTTAAGTAGGCCCCAATCTAGAAATTTACCCCCAGAAAAAAACACATCGCGAGTGATTACACATCTGGTGCCGATTCGCTGAGTTTTTTGGCCGCAGTTTGGAAGAAGTATCAAGCGGGAGCTCCGTTTCTGCTTGTAGAAGGCGATGTTGCAAGCAGAGCCAGCGGGTGCTCTCCATCAACCCCGCCTTGTGGGGAGGTTTTCGGGGAACCCAGGGAGCTAAACATGGAGCCGCGGTTCCAGACCGGCCCAGACCCTTCCAAACCGATCCACGTTCCCTTCAAGGAGCCCAGTGCTGTGCCGTGACATGTTGTGCGGTGTTCTGATCTGCGCCGCTGTGCGAAGCCATGCTTTGCGTTGCATTGCTTTGTGATGTAAAACTTCACTACGCAATGCCACCCAATGCTATGACATTCTCCGCTTTGCCGTGCTCCTCTACGCCATGCCATACAAGGCACGACGATGCATCGCGCACCCTCTCGCGATCACTGCCCTGGTCGACATCCGACTGTGCAACCAGAGAAATCTACGCCATGGTAGGGGGTGGAACGGAGGGGTAAGACGTCAAATGTTACGCGAGCGCGCCTATATTGCCATCTTCCCCTCCTCCTCCTCCTTCTCTTTTTCCTCCTCCTCCTCCTCCTTCTCCTTCTCCTCCTCCTCCTCGCCCCCCCTTGGACCGACGACGACGTCGTTGTCGCAATGCGCCCTCCCGCGCGTCGCGCGCCGAGAGTCCGCGCAGGTGCACTCGGTCGAGCCCTTCTCGCTGACGCTGCGGCGCGGGGGCGTCTTCCGCCAGGCGCGCCCTGCCCCCGGCGGCCACGACGCGGCCACGACGCGGGCATCGGCGCTTCCACGCGCGGGGCGTTGGCGGGCAGCCCCCGCATCGATGCATCGGTGTGTCCGCGTAGCGTCATGAGGGGAAAAACACACAGACACAATGAGTCGTCGATTCCCAAGAAAATATGGGGAAATATGGGAAGTGGGAGGGGAAGACAAAAACCCGGAAAATATGGGAAAATATGGGGGATCTTTTTATTTGTGTGTCTTTGTTTGTGTGTCCTGCGGCTCCTTCGTATCGGGAAACTCGATGCGACATCGCGGGTATTTGGTCTACAGAGTCCGGCGGAGCAGAAACGCCTTCCCGTCTTGCGCAGGTCCAGCAAGCGTGCGGTTTGGCCTGCGGAGCAGCTGTGCTGCTTCCGTGTTCCCCTGGTGGGTCGGTCCCGCCCTGACGGGCTGGTGGCCCAAGGATTGCCATACATACCCGTGTCAGGTCAGGCTCAGTGATCTGGAGAAGGGGGGGGGGGAGGGATGCAGGGAGGGAAGAGGAAGAGGAAAACAAGGAGGACCAGTGTACATATAAGATTCATCAGCGATATTGCAGGAAACCATACCTTCAAGGTTCCTTTTTTCATAGGCCCCTTACGCGGGTTCACTTGCACCGACGACAATTCCCCGTTTGAAGAGAACCATGTGAACATCTGGAGTTCTGCAAGAACGCCATTCCAGGGACTCCAACACCGTGAGTCACCATTCGTGTTGCGTCTCGACGATCCCGAATCGTGCTCTTCCTGGGAACTCAGCACCGCGAGTCAACGTGACCGTTGCGCCTCGACCAGGTGCCGCAACAACACTCTTGGGACGTTATCCATGGTACTCCAGATTTCGTAATAAAGGGAGGGGGGTCTCATTTCGGGGTGGGTCTCTTCCAGGCTATCTTGGAGGGCCTGGGGGGTCTGGGGACGATGTTTTGGAGGGTTCTCCCACGGGGGGGGTCTGAAATGGCTTGTCTTGGAGGGTCCAGACCCCCTCCCTTTTATTACGAAATCTGGAGTAATCTTTTGCACGGTTGCAAACTCTTAAGACGATTGCGCGCGGCGCTGAGGAGAAGACCACCTTTTGGAAAGGTGCCACCCTCCATCTGTGAAGCTGTTGTATCTTGCAGACAGATGTGCGCGGGCGTCGAGGTGATGACCACATTTTGAACAGGAGCCGCCTTCCATCCGTCAAACTCCTTGCAGATTGTCAAAAAGCGAAGGAGCTCGGCGCGAAGGCGAGAGCCACATCTTGCAAACGGGCCGCCCTCCATCCGTCAAGCTCTTGGCAAGCTTTTGAGACGAATGTGCGAGGCGCTACGGCGAGGGTCACAGTTTTGACCTCCATCCATGCAGCTTTTTCTCACGTTTCAGACGAATGTGCGTGGCGCTATAGTCGGGGCCCTGAAGAAGGAACCCTTTTGGTTGGGGAGGGGCTCCGCGTTCCTCAAGTGTTTCACAGCTTGCCTCAGGTTTTCCTTATGTTTTCGACAGGAAATCGAAGGTTCGCTTATGGAAAAAAAAAGGCCTCGTTCCTCATTTAGGGTTCCTTTTAGGTCAACGCCCCGACTGTATGGCGAGAGTCACATTTGGACCTCCATCCATGAAGCTTTTTCGCACTTCTCAGACGACTGTGCGTGGCGCTAAGGCCTTGGCATCGCTCGGACGTGTGCATTTTTCCTTCGGCGAGGACCATCGAGGAGCATCCTTGATCATTCGGCGAACAAAAACACGCACGAAACCGAACAAAAACATTGGGAATGGACGTCCGCCCGATGGCGAGAGGCGAGAAGCACAGTCTGAAAGCGGGCCGCCCTCCCTCCGTGAAGCCGTTGCAGATCTCCAGGCTGCAGGATCCCACACTGCGCGTGGCGGTCTCGGGCGAACCGCCTGGCCCGCCCTGTCGACCGGCCTCGGGGCGCGACAGGGGAGGAGTTATCCATAGGAGAAAAACCACGGATGAGGAGGCCGAACAGGAGGAGGGGGGGGAGGAGGAGGATGAGGAGGATCACACATTGCGCGTGGCAGTCTCAGGATCACACATTGCGCGTGGCAGTCTCAGGCGAAATGCCTGGCCCGCCCTTTCGACCAGCCTCGGGGTGCGACAGGGGAGGAGTTGTATATAAGAGAAAAACCATGGATGAGGAGGACGAACAGGAGGAGGAGGGGGAGGAGGAGGAGGAGGCGGAGGAAGAGGATGGGGAGGAGGGATCAGGGCAAGCCCAAGATGCGTCACCGACTTTGCATCACACCCTCCCGTCACAAGTCTCCTTCCCATACATTTTTATTTATACGACCACCCTTCGGATGGTAAGGAAGTTCGATGGGGGAGGAACCAGCGTCTTCCTCAATCGATCTTACTTTCGATCTCACTATCGACCTCACCCTCGATACCACTATCGATTGTACAATCGATCGCACTATCGATCTCACAATCGATACACTATCCCTTTCACTATCGATCTCACAATCGACCTCACAATCCACCTGATGATCAATCTCGCTATCGATCTCACCATCGATCTCCCTATCGATTTCACTATTGATCTCACTATTGATCTCACTATCGATCTTACTGTCGATCCCACTATCGATCTTACTATCGATCACACCATCGATCTCACTATTGATCTCACTATTGATCTCACTATTGGTCTCACTATCGATTTTACAATCGATTCCACCATCAATCTCACCATCGATCCCACTATCTATCTCACTATTGATCTCACTATCGATCAGACTATCGATATTACTATCGTTCTGACGATCGATCTCACTATCGATCTCACGGGACACCACGGGCCACCACTGGATACGGCGGGACATTGCGGGACACCGCGGGACACCACCAGGACACTTCGGGACACCACGGGGGGACTCCGCGGAACACCATCGACACACCACCAGGACACCATCGGGACACCAACGTGGCCCCACGGGGAGCTCAGCTCGAGGTTCTACTGGCGGTGACCGCCTGGGGTCCCGCCTCTTTCATGTCGGCACACCCCTCACACGCTTCGTGGCCCCGAAGGGACCTCCACCACATGCCCCAGAGGGAGGGTCCGCATGCTACCGCCGCACCCATCTCTGGACACTCCTCACACGTTTCGTGGCCCCGTAGGGAGCTCCACCGAATGCCCCAGAGGGAGGGTCCGCATGCCACCGCCGCACCCACGTCGGCACACCCTTCACACGTTTCGCGGCCCCAAACGGAGCTCCACCGAATGCCTCAGTGGCAGTGTTCGCATGGCGCCACCGTGTCGATTTCGGCACACCCATCACAACCCCATATGGAGCTCCACCGAAGGCCCCAGTTGGAGGACCCGCATGCCACCGCCACACCCATTCTGCCACACCCCTCACACGTTTCGTGGTCATGTAGGGAGCTTTACCGAAGGCCCCAGTGGGAGGGCCCGCATGCCACCGCCGCGTCCATTTCGCCCCTCCCCTTACACGTTTCGTGGCCCCGCAGGGAGCTCCACCGAAGGCCCCAGTGGCTGCGCTCGCATGCGCCCGCAGAGCAGATCTCGGCACACCCCTCACACGTTTCGTGCCCCCATGGGGAGCTCCAACGAAGGCCCCAATGGAAAGGGCCCACATGCCACCGCAGCACGCATTTCGGTACACCCCGTGCACGTCTCGTGCCCCCACAGGGAGCTTCGCCGAAGGCCACATCGGGAGAGCCCGTATGCAACCGCCGCGCCCATTTCGACACAGCCCTCACACGCTTCTTGGCCCCATTGGGAGCTTCAGCGAAGGCCACATCGGGAGAGCCAGCATGCCGCCGCCGCGCCCATTTCGGCACACCCCTCACACGTTTCGTGGCGGCGGTGACCGCATGCGTTCTCGCCTCTCGTTCGGCGAACACACCAGACGTTTCTTGGCCCTGTAGCGGTGGCCGCATGAGTTCCCGCTTCTCATCTCGGCACGCCCCTCACAGGCTTCGTGGCCCCATAGGGAGCTCCACCGAACGCCCAAGTAGGAGGGTCCACATGCGGTTCCCCGCCCATTTATCGGCACGCCCTTCACACGGTTCGTGGTCCCATCAGGATCGCCACCGAAGTTGAGTCTCACAACATTCTTACCCACGACCGCATATGGTTGAGTCAGCCGCCAGGATATTGAAACTATGCAGCCCTCCATCCGTGCAACTGTTACATTTTTTCCCTTTTCGAATCAGGCGTTCCCGCTCCCCCTCTCCTCCTCCCATCCTCCCTTCTCCTCTCCCCTCGTCGTCATCGTCATCGTCATCGTCATCGTCATCGTCATCGTTATCGTCATCATCATCGTCATCAGCACCCTCATCCTCCCCATCATCATCACATCCATAGCAAACATGATCAACCACAACATCATTATTACTATCATCAGCATCATCATCATCCTCATCCTCATCCTCTTCGCATTCTCATCCTCATCCTTATCCTCATTCTCATCCTCATCATCATCATCATCAGCATACTCCTCACCACCATCATTATCATCATCCTCATTCTCATCCGCATCCTCATTCTCATCACCATCATCATCACCACCATCATTCTCATTATGAGCATCCGAAACATCGTCGTCGTCAGCAGCAGTAACCACATCACCACCACGATCATCATCACCATCATCAGCATCACCATCATCATCATCACCACCATCATCACCTTCCTCATCATCATCACCATCATAACCATCATTGTCACCTTAATCATTACCATCATCACCACCACCATCAACATCCTCATCGTTATCATCACCAACATCCGCATCACTATCACCATCAGCATCAGCATCAACATCAACAACCGCATCATCATCATCACCATCATCACCATCATCATTATCATCATAATAGTCATCTTCACCACCATCATCACCGTCATCAACATCAACATCAACATCAACACCAACACCTTCATCATCATCATCATTCATTATCGTCATCATCATCATCACCATCGCCATCATCCATCATCATCATCATCAGCAGCACCATCATAAGTATCCTTATCATTCTCATCAACATTATCTTTTTCCTCCTCCTCCTCCTCCTCTTCATCATCATCATCATCATCATCATCATCATCATCATCATCATCATCATCATCATCATCATCATCATCATCATCATCATCATCATCATCATCATCATCATCCAGCAGCATCAGCAGCAGCAGGAGCAGTATCACCATCATTACCAGCGTCATCACGTTGCGGATCCCCATAGGGAGCTCCACCGACGGCCCCAGTTGGAGGGTTCGCCCCACCGCCCCCATTTCGGCACACCCCTCACGTGATTCGTGTCCTCAGGGAACTCCACCGAAGGCCCCGGTGGCAGGGTTCGCATGGCGCCACCGCACCAATTCTGGCACACCGCGCACGTTTCGTGGCCCCACAGGGAGTCCCACCGAAGGCCCCTGTGGCAGGGTTCGCATGGCGCCACCGCGCCCAAGGCGGTATACCACTCACAGGTTTCGTGGCCCCATGGGGGGCACCTCCGAAGGCCCCGGTGGAAGGGTTCGCGTAGCGCCACCGGGCCCACTGCCGGGCCGCTCCGCGCACGCAGCAGGCTCAAGAACGGAGCAGATGTGGGTTTCAAGTCTATGCTCTCGCCTGAGGCCCGCTCACAAGAGTGGAGGGCGGTACACGTTCAAAATGGTGCTCTCACCTCAGTGCCGCGCACACTCTTCAAATCATCCTGGCGAAGGACCGTGCGGGTGCGAGTGACGTAAGGCAGGTGGGACGAGAGAGGGATAGCTCCCGATTTGGGCCACGAAACCTGTGGGTTGTGTGCCGAAGTTGGTCTGGTGTCGCCATGCGATCCCACTGGGGCCTTCGGTGGAGCTCCCTATGGGGCCTCGAACCGTGTGAGGGGTGTGCCGAAATCGGCGCTGTGATGCCATGCGAACCCTGCCACCGGGGCCTTCGGTGGAGCTCCCGAAGGGCCTCGAAACGTGTGAGGGGTGTGCCGAAATGGACGCTGTGGCTCCATGCGAACCCTGCCACCGGGGTCACGAAACAGAGGGGTGTGCCCAAATGGGGGCGGTGGCGCCAGGCGAACTGCAAGAGCAATGCAGCGCAACGCAACGCAAAGCACCGCAACGCAACGTCCGGCCTAGTGGCTTGGGGAGCGGCTCGCCTCAAAAATGAGGCGGACACACAAATACTATTGCTCATGCGATCCCTCCCACACGTTCAAACATCACGTGTGCCTATTGGCCGCAAGCTGCAACTATTCCTCCTGGAGAGCATTCCATGGCAAACTCTTGCGTTGCCGCAGTGCTTCCTGCAACAACAATCCTTCTGACAACAAGAACTTGCGCACATAATCAATTTACCTCGTCCAGGTGTCCATCGCATGACAATTGCCAGCCAAGAGCCAGGAACACACAGACGCGACACCAACCGCTATCGAGCAATATCTATTATTTTGTGACGTGCCATGACTTCAACAAGGCCATCTGCCGGAATTTTGGCGGCAATTTGAGTGGCCGCGTGGATTCTCACCTCGACTACAGACTGGAGTGCGCGTGGGATCGCTTCCACGCGAACAAGTAGACGCTTACCAATAATAATATTTCATAGCGCGTTCGGTTGAATTTGTTCGAATCTGTTATCATGCCTACAGCTGTGCACGGCATGATTCTTTGGGCATGACCAGCTGCAGCAGACGTCGCTCGCGGTTGGCAGCCGCTCGGAACAAGGTGCTTTGGAGAGTGGTGGGATTTTCGAAGCTGCCGCATGAGATTTCGGAGGGTTCGGGTAGGCGCTCGGAACGCAAATCGGAGCAGGCAATGAGGCGATACCAACACTTTGAAACATCTATGTTGCTGCATCCTTGTACATGTTGCAAGAGTTCAAGCCGACTGTGTGCGGCGCTAAGGCGAGAGCCTCATTTTTATGGCGAAGCGCCTTGCACGCCCGACCGACACGTCTGGGGGCGCGTCAGGGAGAAGTGATCCACAAGGAGGACGGATTGATGAAAGAGAGAGGGCGATGAGAGAAGGAGGAGGATGAGGAAGAGGAGCAGAGGCTCGTGCTCTTTTCTGGCCGGGGAGGGTCTCGCAGGCCCAGAGGTTGACACCAACACCAAGATCGGCGGTATGCCTCCACCGAGGGAAGCAGATCCCTATTTTGGTGATGTAATATTCTGGCTTCCAAGGTGACCGAAATATTACCACCACCACCGGAATCTAGGATCGTCTTCCCCCCGTGGAGGCCGCCCCCTGTTTTGGTGTTGCTGCCCATTTCCAGGCCTCCCAGGGTCTGCTTGGGTTGCTACTGGCCCCCCTGGCCCTCACGGTGGCCATGCGACCGCGATCTTGCCACGCCGAGCGCCGCTGCTGCCGCCACCGACGCCGCGCGCGCGCCCGCGATATGAGCAGTCCGGGTGCCGCCTCTCCTGCCTCTCCTGCGTCAGCGGCCCTCTGCGATGGGCACTCCGCCAGGTCGTCCTGCAGTGCCAGGTGGAGCGAGCTATAAATATATGTATATATCTAGAGAGAGAAAGAGAGAGAGAGAGAGAGAGAGTGAGAGAGGGAAAGAGAGAGAGAGAGTGAGAGAGAGAGAGAGAGAGATAGGGAGAGAGAGAGAGAGAGAGAGAGAGAGATATTGAGATATGAGATGTATGTATATATGTATGTATGTATGTATGTATGTATGTATGTATGTATGTATGTATGTATGTATGTATGTATGTATGTATGTATGTGTATATGTATATGTATATGTATATGTATATGTATAGGTATGTGTATAGGTATATGTATTTGTATAGGTATAGGTATATGTATATGTATATGTATATGTATATGTATATGTATTTGTATATATATATATATATATATATATTTATAGAGAGACGGAACTGGATGGTCCGAAGGCTGGCCTGGCTGGGAGGCAGCCTCGGATCCCCGACGGGTATTGCGCCGGCGCGCTTGGTCTCGGCGGCCACTCGTCCAGAGGCGGGACGGGTCCTGGGGCCGCTGAAGAGAGCGAGACAGAGAGTTGGGAACCCCCAAACCGGGTGGTGAGATACCAGGTGGCGACCTGGAATCCCCAAAAAGGTCACCGCTGGGTTTGGGGACGCGGGGTCACCACTGGGTTTTGTGACTCCTGGACCCACCAGTGTCCGGGACATCCTCGGAAAACCGCACGAGTCCCCAAACCGGGTGGTGACACCAAATCGCCCGAGACTCACCACCAGGTATTGTCACCACCACGTTTGGGGACTACCAAGAGAGAGAGTCGAAGAACAAAAGCGCCATAAATATGAGCTTCCGGCGCTCCGCGCGGATTCCTCGGATCCTCGCTGGGCCCCCCCCGGCTGCGCCTCTGGCGCCGCTGCCTGGCGCGCTTCGCGCGCCAGGGAGGGGGGGTCCAGCGCAGATCCGAGCAAGCTGCGCGGAGCGCCAAAAGTTTATGCTTTTTTCGGTGTCTTTTCTTCTTGTAGAGAGCGTGAGCGTTGTGGAGAACGGTCAATGGAGAGGAAGCATGTTGCCAAATAATTTCCAGATGTCTAGAACATGTGCGAACAACTGAAAAATTGTACAACCCATGTTTTAAACATTTCCAGGACATTTCCTCGATATTTGAAACACATTTGTAATTCGATGATAGTTGTCGTGGCATCCACATTTCTAGAGAGGGATTGAGAGATACCCGCCCGTGGGCGACAGCCACGTGACCACGCCGGGAAAGTCAGCTACGTGGGCTGATTCTCCCCCCCCCCTTTCGCTATCCCCCCTCGTTTTTGCTATCCCCCTCCTTTTTGCTATCCCCCCCCTTTTTGCTACCCCCCCCCCCCCTTTGGCTATCCCCCCCTTTCGCCCGGCCCGAGAGACATCCCCGCCTCCCGCCAGGCCAGGCAGCGGCCGCGCGTGCTGTTCCTCGGCGTAGGCGGGCGGCACCGCGGAGGGGCCCTCCTTTTCGGAGCCGGGTCTGAGCGGGCAGGGTCTGCGTGCCCCGCCCCGACCCCACCGGCTTTCTCTCCCTTTCTCGTTTTTTTGTTTTTGTTTGTTTTCCCCCGTTTTTTTGTGATTTGTTTTGTGTTTTTTCCTCTCTCTCTCTCTTTCTCTCTTTCTGTCTCCATATATGTCTTTGTGAATACAAATGTATGTATGTATGCATGCATGTATGTATGCATGTATGCATGTATGTATGCATGCATGTATGTATTTATGTATGCATGCATGCATGCATGCATGCATGTCTGTCTGTCTGTCTGTCTGTCTGTCTGTCTGTCTGTCTGTCTGTCTGTCTGTCTGTCTGTCTGTCTGTCTGTCTGTATGTACATACGTACGTACTTGTATATATATATATATATATATACATATCGATAGATCTCCCTTTCTCTACATATTCACTGGGGGACGAGGGCCAGGGGCTCTGGCCCAGGGCCCCCCCCCCCCGACGCCATGGGGGGCGACCGCCCTCCGAACGGGCTGCAGACGGCACGGGAGGCTCCAGACCGGCGCGCGGATCGGCCCGGAGGCGGCCGAAACTCGCCCAGGGTAGGCCCCGGACGGCCCGAGAGGCTCCCGGGTGGCCCCGGAGCTCTCCAAGCGGGGTCCCGCGAGGGCGCCCCGAGGCAAGATTTTTTTTTTTTTTTTTTTTTTGTTTTTGTTTTCCCTCTCTCTCTCTCTCTCCTTTTTTTTTTTATATATATATATATATATATATATATATCTCTTCCTCGTGTTTCGGACAGACGGCCCATCAAAGTATTCCACTTCTTGACGTTTCGCGTATCCCCGCCAGCTTCGCTTGCCTTTCTTTTCCTGCTGCCTAGTCGCGGCCCGACTAGTGTTCGGACGGCTTTCGACCCGCCTCGCGAGCCTGTTGGCCAAAAGTATCCCCACCAGCTTCGCCACGCCTGTGGCGCGCCGACCTCTGGCGCCCTGCGGCGACAAGGTCCAACTCACGTACCTGGTGGTCACGCCCCCGGGGAACCCGCACGTTTGCAGCTTCCTGGCAGCCCCAGCTGCTTGCAGTCCCCACCCTCGGCGCTGCCTCTTCTCCCTCGGCGGTTGCAGCAACTGCCCATCGGCGCAGCAGCTTCCCCCGGCGGTAGGTTCTGCTGGTGCCTGCGCGCGCGCCGGCAATTAGATCCGCTCGTAGCCCGGGCTGACTCGACCCGCCGCTGGCGCCTTCGCATGCGGTGGCGACAAAAAATCCCCACCAGCCCACCCACAAACGATCAGCAGGGGAGTTGGTGAATCAGGGACGGCAGGACGCATGCAGTCGCGCAGCCGTCTTCGGGAAAACAAGGGTCACACATAGTTTCCCGTATTGAAGGTTAAGATGGACATCGGTGCAAGCTACGACGGTGCCTCGATGAGGGGTGAGGGGTGTTTCGATGACTCGTAATGGCTGTTGCACTGACTTGTATCTTAAACTCGCATGCGTTTCGAAAATTGGAGCCGTCTTGGGGCTCTCTTGGGGTTCTCTTGGGCCCCTCTTGGGGCCCTCCTGGAGCTCTTTCTTGGGGTTCTCTGGAGGTCCTTTCAGGGCCTTCTGGGAGCCCTCTTGGGGCTCTTTTGGGCTGTCTTGGGGCCTTCTTGGAGCTGTTTTGGGGGGGTCTGGGAGGCCTCTTGGGGCCGTCGTTGGCCGCATGGATCAAAAAGAGGGGGAGGATGAATTCGGATCGCCCCTTCGGAGGCTCAAAAATTCCGTCTTTGGGCCCTCTTGGGTCACTCTTTGAGCGCTCTTGGGCGCTCCTGGGGCCCTCTTGGGGCCTTTTTGGGCGTCTCTTGGGGCTCTCTTGGGCCATCTTGGGGCCATCTTGAGGCCTCGAGAGCTTATTGGAAACGAAAAGGCTCGAATGCCAAACGCATTACTATTCCAAAGGTTTTTTTCTGCCATTTTGGCCTCTTGGGGGGGTCCTTGGAGGTTTCGGAAGGCACTTGAAACCGTCGTGGAACCGTCTTGGAACTTCTTCTTCGATGCGTGTCAGAAGCTATCTTGAGCCAACTTGAGGTATGTTGGGCCATCTTGGAGGCCATCTTGGGCTCTCTGAGGCCCTCTTGGAGCCATCTGGAGCCAAAAAGGACCCTCTGACGCATCGCGGGGGAGCCAGTCCAGAGGCTGGGAGGGGGGGGAGGTAAACCTCCCCTCGAGCAGGGAGAGGCTGGGAAAGGAACCGCGCTAGACCACCGCTGCCCAGAGGGCTGCCGGGATTATCGAACCACCCCTTCCCCCCAACTTTTCGGCGAAACTATATCCGAGGATTCTAGATCTGAGGATTCCAGAGGATTTCTGAACACTCCTGAGAAATCTTAGGCGCGAGCGACCCCATCTCTCCCGCTCCATCCCGCCGCCCGCCAGCCCCCTCCGCCCCGACCCCCCCCCCCCCCATCTCACGCGCGCTCCTTCCGCGCCCCTTCCGCCCTGACCCGCGGCCCCCCTTCCGACCCGCCCAGACCGCCGCCCCCCGCCCGTCAGCCAGCGCCCCCCTCCGCACCGATTTTTTCATGTCGGCACGGCCCCCCCCATCCCGCGCGCGGAGGTGTTTCGGCGCACGCCCCTCCGTCCCCCCTCTTTGCGCGCCCTTTGCGAATCCGCCCCGCCCGCCAGCTGGCGCGCGCCCTTCCGCCCCGACCCTTTTATTTCGGCGCGCCCCCCTCCCCCCGCCCCTCCCGCGCGCGCCACCCGCGTCGCCCCCGCCCGCCAGCGCTCCTTCCGGATCCCCGCCGCCCCCCAGCCGGCGCGCCCCCTCCGCTCCGACCTTTTCTATTTCGGCACGGCGCCCCCCGTCCATCCTTTGCGCCCTTCGCGCCGCCCCGCCGACCAGCCGGCGCCCGCCCTCCGCCCTCCGCCGCGCCCTCCAGCTCGGCACGGCATGCGCCCCCCATCCCGCGCGCCCCCTCCGCGTCGCCCCCGCCCGCCAGCCAGCGCGCCCCCTCCGCCCGACCATGCTATTTCGGCGCGCTCCCCCCCCGTCCCGCGCGCCCCCCCCTGGCCCCCCCCCCGCCCGCCAGCCAGCACGCCCCCTCCGCCCAGACCCTTCAATTTCGGCACGGCACCCCCCCCCCATCCCGCGCGACCCCTCCAGATCGCCCCCGCCCGCCAGCTGGCGCGCCCCCGCCGCCGCGACCTTTTCATGTCGGCACGGAGCTCCCCCCATCCCGCACGCCACCCCGCGCCCGCCAGCCAACGCACCCCCCCCCATCCCGCGCGCCCCCCCGCTGCGCGCCCCCGCCTGCCAGCCAGCGCGACCCCCCCCGCCCGACTTCTTTTAGTTCTGGCGCGGCGCTCCCTTCCCCCCGCGCGAACCCTCTGCGCCCCCGCCCGCCAGGCAAGCGCGCCCCGTCCGCCCGATTACTCCATTTCGGCGCGCTTCCGCCCGCTGGCCAGCGCGCCCCTCCGCCCCGACCGTGTCTATTTCGGCGCGCCCCCCCCCCCGCCCCTCGCGCCCCCTCCGCGTCGCCGCCGCTCGCCCGCCAGCGCGCCCCCTCCGCCCCGACCCATCCATGTATTTCGACGCGGCAACCCCGCCCATCTCGCGCGCTCCTTGCGCGCCCTGCCCGCCCGCTAGCCGGCGCGCCCCTCCGCCCCGCTTCTTGCGCAGTGTCTCTAGAGGTCCGACTTTCTGTTTAACGCTGCGCCGTCTCCTCACCCTGCGCGCCGCCTTCGTCGCCTCGCCCGCCCCGCGCGCCAGCCGGCGCGCCCCGTCCGCCCCGGCCTTCCTATTTCGGCGCGGCGGCGCCCTGCCGCGGCGCCGCCCCCCCCGCCCCGAGCGCCCCTCTGCGGCGCCCCGCTCGCCGGCTGGCGCGTCCCCTGCTTCCCGCTTCTTTTATCTGGCCCCGGCGCCGCCCTCCTCAGTCCCCCGCGCCCCTCCGCCAGCGCGCCCACTCCGTCCCGGCTCCTTAGTTTCGGCGGGGCGCCGCCCCCCCCATCCCGCGCGCCGCCTCCGCGTCGCCCCGCCCGCCAGCCAACGCGCACCCCCCCGCTCAGATTTTTTGCATTTCGGCGCCGCGCAGCCGCCCCCCCGCGTCGCCCAGCCCGCCAGCCAGGGCGCCCCCTCCGCCCCGACTTTTCGGCGCGGCACCGCCGCCCCTATCCCGGGCGCCCTGTCTGCGTCGCCCCCGCCCGCCAGCCATCGCGCCCCCTCCGCCCCGTTTTTTTTTTTTTGTTGTTGTTCGACGCGGCCCCGCCCCGCCCATCCCGAGCGCCGCCTCCATCGCTCCTTCCGCCAGCCAGCGCGTCCCCCCCGCCCCGGCTCTTTTATTTCGGCGCGGCGCCCCCCCTTCCCCCCTCCCGCGCGCCTCCTCCGCGCGCCCCCGCCCGCCAGCCAACGCCCCCCCCCCACCCGACTTTTTTACTCCGGCGCGGCGCCGCCCCCTCAGCCCCGGCCCATCATTTCGGCGCGGACCCCCCCCCTCTCATCCCGCGCGCCCCCTTTTGCGCGCCCCCGCCCGCCAGCCAGCGCGCCCCCTCCACCCCGATCTGCTATTTCGGCAGTGAACCGCCCCGGTCATCCCGAGCGCCCTTCTGCGCCACCCCACGCGCCAGCCATCGCGCCCCCTCCGCCCCGACTTCTTGACAGCGGCGCGGCGCCGTCCCCCCTCCCATCCCGCGCGCCCTTTCCGCGCCCCCTTGCCCGCCAGCCAGAGCGCCGCCTCCGTTCCGGCCGCATTATTTCGTCGCGGCACCGCCCCCCCCCATTCCGCGCGCTTCTTCCGCATCCCCCATCCAGTAGCCAGCGCGCCCCCCTCCGCCCCGACCCATTGCTCTAGGCCCTCCGCATCCTCCCACCCACCAGCCAGCGCGCCCGCTCCGGCCCGCGCCCCCCTCCGCATCAGCCAGCGCGCCCCCTCCGCATCAGCCAGCGCGCCTTGATGTCGGCACGGCGCCGACCCCCCCGCCCACGTCCAGCGCGGCACCTCCGCATCGCCCCACCCGCCAGCCAGCGCGCCCCTCCGCCCCGACCCCTGCATTTCGGCACGGCACCGCCCCCCCATCCCGAGCGCCCCTCTGCACCGCCCCACCCGCCAGCCTGCGCGCCCCCTCCGCCCCGACCCCTCTTGCTCCCCCCGCCACCCCGTCCACCAGCCAGCGCGCTCCGTTCGCCTCCTCCCTCTTCCTTTCTGT